ACCAAGTAGAGTGATGGGCACGTTGGTTTTTAGTATATTACTCGTCATATTTGTTTGAATATCTAAAATATATCCTCATCAACTAATTTTAAAAAAAGCGGCTTTCCTGAAAGACGTCTCTTTGTCCCCAGGACAGTTTCCCTTTTCCCACCTTTGTTGGAACATGAAAACTTCCAACCACTTGTTAAACATCCTTTACCAAAGGAATCGCTGGACAAGCACATCCTTGTTAACGTGAGCCGGTCCAGTTCTGTGCTGGAGCCAGAGGGCAGCTCCTCTGGTTTTTCTGATTTCGTATTTGTAGACTCTTTATATATTTCAAAAGGTTGTCTCACACATTTCATCCTGAAAATAACTCTGCAAAAATAACTCAGCGTGGGTATTGTTATTCCTCACTTGACAGATGATGAAAAAAAGTATCTACCATTTATTGAGCACTGTTTATTACCATCTAAAGAGAGAAGTGCTTTATACACGTTCTCTCATGAAATCATTATGGTGAGCCCATTTGAGAGATGGAGAAACTGAGGTGTAGTGAGGTTCAAGGAACTTGCTCAAGTCCAGTACGAGCAGAGTCAGAAGCCAAAATCAGATCTGCCTGAAGTTCAAAATTTTGCTTGAATGACCATTCTTGGCTCTCTTTAAAGAGCAGTGTGGTTCCCTAACTTGCCTAAGTAAGGCTGATTGGATTTGGAAACAGGATCTCCATATTGTCTCTGTTTTTCTTTTAACATTCTGTAGAGGTTGGGTTTCTTGATCGCAAGTAACATAAATTGATGCTGGCTCATGTAAACAGACAAGAACTTAGTGGGAGACTATCAAGAGGAATAGAAAAGAAGACTGGAAGAAATGGAAATTGTTGGAAGGATGTTCTGGAGGGCTGGGCAGCAAAACCACGTCTACCCCATGTCTAGACCGGGAAGAGGGAAGAGCTAGTCTCTCTTCCTTCTCTTCTGGGAGAGAGTCATCCTGAATTACTTTCCTCCGAAGCCTACAACATGGGAGAGAATAAACTTTCTCCCTCTTACCTCCCCCGCCCATCACGATGTTATTAAGAAGAGGTAAATGGATGCTGCAAATGCAGTCAGGGTGGCAGATACATAGACAGAAAGTTCATATCCTTAAGCAGGCAGTCACATTAAACTAGGAAAGAAAAAAATACATCTTTGTTGACTGGCGTCCCCCGATGGGTAATTAAAATGATGCCACTGTTGCTTTTACTACATTCAAAAGTGTTTTAATTTGTATTTAGCCAGAGGCTTTGCGGCAACAGGAACATTTTTACAAATCTAACAAATAATTATAAATAGATAAAGCCTCCACTTCTACTGTTCTGGGGGAACGTTTCCTTCAGGTAACACATTTATAAATCCACCTGTTTGACAATATGGAGCTAAAATAACAGTGGAGCTTGAACTGGTTGCTTAAGTGACAGGTGAAATGGTGTATTTGTCAGCATAGAAATGAAAAACAGTATCACGCAGGGAGGTAATCTAGTCCCAAAGGCACCGTGGACTATAAATGCTAAATTACAATCGACCTACAATGTAACCTTGCATAATTCTTGAATATAAGATATGAGGACCAGAAAACCCAAGGTAGCAAGAATTCAGACTAAAGGAAGCCTGCACGATTTATAGTTAAGGTGACTTCGAGACTCTTGGTGTGGTCTGAGTGCTCCCCCCAAATGTGCTTGACAGCTGTTCTTTAGTAACTCTGGGTATAATAAGAAGAAGAAGGAAAATTTGAGGAGGAGTTGCTATGTGGTTATGTGCTCACGCCCCCTCTTGGGGACCTCGGATCTTCTCAGGTCAATATGGGCTAATGCCAATCACGATTGATTTTCCAATCTTCGGTTCATGGGTAATTTCAAATAAGGCTTCAGAGATACCAGATTTCCTTCCTGAGTACAGGAGCTGACCTTATGTTGCAACGAAGGCTAACAGATCTTTACACTGCAAAATACTGTTGAGTCCAAAAACTCATTGGATGTCATCCAACTCATTCGTGTTCAAGTGAGACACATATGAACCCCGAATGTGAAATATACCCATACCCTGCTTTCCTTTCATTCTGAATGACTAAGGCCCCAGGTAGACAAAGTGGGGTTTCGTATGGCCCCAGGAGGAAGGAGTTTTTCAATAAGGAATGTGTGAAAAAGAATTATGAGACCCAGCTGCCGTTTTCCAGGAACTCTTAAGAAGTGACATAATCTTGTTTTTAAAAAGTCTGGGGGAGAGCAGAGGAAGGGAGAGCCTATCTCTTGTAAAATATGCTGAAGTTATAAAAAACAAATTTTGCTGGAATAGGGGAGGGCTCAGCGCCTACCTCCACCCATATTCCAGCCAGGACAGCCCATTGCGTTGAGACAGGAAGGAAAGGGGCAGGGCACAACCATTGAAAATGACACAGCAGAATCACGGCGGAAGGTTCAACACCCAGTAGACCTGAGGCCCAGGATGGTGGGAGAACTGATTTCCAGTAGACCTTGAGCTTCAGTATACGCTTACTGGAATATATTAGCATCGGTAAATGTCACTCCCACAGCTGCCATGACAGTTCCCAGGCTGACCATAAAAGGTCAAAAAGTGGGCAGTGGCCCAGTTCCTGGGAATCCCAGCCCCTTCTCCAAAATAGTTGGAATAATCTTCCCACTTGTTAGCATATGAAGTTACTGAGCCCATAGAAACTAACCGCCCCCACATCTTGTGCCCACTCCCCCTTCTGAGTGAGACGGACCGTACTCTGTCTATGGAGTGTGTATCTTTGAATAAATCTACGTTTATTCAGCTGTAGCTCGCTCTTGAATTCTTTCCTATGTGAAGCCAAGGACGCACACTTGGAGGGGCATGTCCCACAGATTCAACGAAGACCTGGGACACGGCCATCCTCTCATGCCACACATTTTTCTGCATCAGCATGGTATATGTAAGGGTTGGATTCCTTCTATGTAAGAGAATCATTGAAGAAATAATATGTGTAAATCATAGTTTCTATGCAGTAATGGATCTCGCTCTTTAAGAAGTCCTGTTGTGGGTTAAATAATTCTTTTAGAACTTAAGGGGGTGGGAAGGGATAAATTCGGTAGTTTGAAATTTGCAAATGATAGCTGCTACGTATAAAAATAGATAAAAAACATATTTGTTCTGTATAACAAAGGAAACTATTCAGTATCTGTAATAACCTTTAATGAAAAAGAATATGAAAATGAATATATGTATATATATATGTGTGTATATATATGTGTATGTGTATATATATACATATATATAGATATAGATATAGATATATAGATATATATGACTGGGGCATTATGCTGTATACCAGAAATTGACACATTGTAACTGACTATACTTCAATTTTTTTCAAAAAAAGAACTTAATCACTTTTATTGACGAGAGGCAGTGTACCATTGTGGCGAAGAGCAAGGCGGCCTGGTTAGAATGCCAACTTCCTAGCTGGCATAAACGTACTTTGGTTTAGATGCTACATGGGAATGCTAAGAGGGGAATACATTTAAATAGTGTATTGTAAGTATTCAGTGGCTATCACCTACTAGTATTGTTACTTAACGACCTCAAGTTTGCTGAAAGCTGTCTCAGCTTCAGGGGAGGTGTGCCGCAGGCTTCGTATCTTACGCAGGCTTCCCTGAAGTACTCATCCGATTGATTCATTCTCTTTGTCGCTCTTTTCTTTTCGTTCAACGTTTACTGTTACCTGCCATTTGTCAGACACACGGAGCTGGTTGGAACAAAGGGAAAAGATAATAGTTTCAGCTCTTGGGAACTCACTGTCTAATGGCAGGAAACCAATGAGTGTATAATTGCGCTGCATATTTGCAGTTCGTTCTTCCATCGCTCCGTTTTCTGGTAAGATCTCCTCAGTGTGCCATTCACTCTAGAATCTTTGGATAATCGTCCAGGGTTCTCAGTTGGTTCTTGAAGAGCTGTGGTGCCCTGTTTGCTCATGCACCTTGTTGAGAACACCCGTACCTTCTATGTCTTTTCGTAGACCCTCCCGTCCCTGAGCACTATACTGGGTTTGCGTCTATACCAGCTGGAATAGATCCAGCCCACTGAGATGGTTCTTCATCATAAATCATTGGATAGCTTCAAAATAAGGCCAATGCTCAGCCACGAAAATAAGCCCTTTCAAGGGTCACTTTTCCCCCCACTAATCCCAATGAGAAATTAAGGATCCCTTGACGGATGGGGAGGTACCACCGGAGAATTACCTCTTGTGATTTGCCTTCCCTGCCACTAGGTGTCACTGCTCCACATAAATAAAATGGAACCAAATTGGCCTTGGCACTGTGAGAAATGGCCTTTGGTTAAGGGAATCTGGCAGGTTTAGGTAGTCCCTCATTTTGAAGTGGCCAAGTAACCTAAAGACTGGCCATGAGAGACAGGAACCAACCTTGCATAAAAAGCCTTCGAAAATTAAAGTATTTGACAGATGTAAATCCAGTACCCTGTGCAATCTCCTCTTTGGTATTGAGCCTTTTAAAACAGATCTCCAAAGATGAACTTCTTGGACCAAAGAGAACGTCTTTATGGAATGTGTTATTTATGTATCTGTTTGGGAAGAAATAATCTGGTTACATTGGGACATCATACAGAAAATAAAGGAAATCTCACCAAAGAAGGCTGCCTGCTTTTCTGCCAGGGGCCTTCTTTTCTTGAGAGACAATGGGATAAAATATGACCTTCCCTACATTCCCTGCTTGATCCTCCCTTCTCCCAGTTTTAAAGTATTTTTCCAGAATTTTCTACATTAGGACAATTAGTTGTCGTTCCTCAGCGGTTATGAGAGATTATCAGCAAAATCAAAGCACCTTCCATTCATTTCCCACCCACCTTCCCCCACATACGCAGAGTTATTACTGATTCAGCGATCTCTGACACATGAGATCCCTCCTTGAGTTATTTGCATGATTTTTTTTTTCTTTCTTCTGGAAGGAGGGTGTTGTGCTATACATTCTAGTGTTGATTAAAATACAGGGTCCTTGAAGAACAGTTGTAGTGGTCAGTGGCCATCGCTCTATTTTTATGTTTGTGATAAGTGGGCAGAGTGAGGACCTAGAGTGTCAGCCAGAAGAGGTGATAGGTAGAGCTTTCTACACTTGTCCCCTGATTTTATGGCTAAAGTGATGATCGCCAAAGCCAAACAACACTTTGAGCTTTAGGTGCCACTGGGATCATGGACTGAATTTTAGGGCGGGTCTAGTCTGTGGTGAGAAAAGGTAAATACTACCAATTAAAAAGGGGAAAGCAGAGGCAGAGAAGAAGCTAAATATGGAACATTTCATTACGAAATACTTGTCTTATAAGACAGTGGCTTGGTCCAGAATGAAATGGTTGAGTTCGGCCACCTCTGGCGTGTTGATCAGCAGAAACCAGGGTGTCCTTTCTGGTTGATCTCTGATGACAGCATAAGGTGTCTCGATCATGTGCACATCCTTTTATCCTGATAACTGATTGAAACATGAGGGGGTGTGATGGAGACAGTGCAGACAAGACTCCTGTCCACAATCCCTTAACTGTCCAAAAAAGGGTTTCTGGGAAGCCCTATGTTGCAAATACTGGACAGAAAGCTTTGGTTACTGCAATGGGAATTTGAGATTGGTTTAGGATGCCTTTCGCCATTTTGACAAGCCATCTCCCACGACCCAGAAGTTTCCCTGCATAATATGGCTCTGTGAAGTCAGCATGGTAGTGTGACTACTCCACTAGAGAGTGTTTTGATAGGTTATGTTAAATAATTCTCCTATTTGATTTTACTCCCCATATCAAGTAAACGGTTGGTCATCATGTAACTTCGAACCTAGCCAGTGCCTTCATGTAAATAGTTCTCAGATGCTATCACATTGTAATGATAAAGATAATGTCATGTCAGCTTCCTGGAGTAGAAAAGTGATTTTTTTTTCCATAAAGGGCATTTTTAAATGGGTCATTAACTCATTTTATGGGTACCTTAATGCCTTGAGCACTGTAAGGAAATTATGTATCAACCTACTGGGGCCAAAATTGATTCAGAAAAGGATTTCATCACCTACGGAATATACTCTTACGAGCTGTTATACATCCTAACATCCTGGATCGAATAAACAATGCAGAGTTTTTATTGTTGTGGGCAGCACCCATGTAAATATCGTACGAGAGTGAACTTGTGGTGCTTGGCCCAACCCACAGAAGGCTTTCGTCCTAGACAGGAGAGAGTCTCCTGGTTTGCCAGATGAAATCCAGTATTTAATTCTTCTAACATTTAATTCCTTCGCATGTAATTCAAACCGAGGATCAGTCCCATGTAGCATCTTGTATCGTTAGATTAGCTTTTACGAGTGGGTCTAAATTGTCCTCTGGTCTGCGAGTTCCGAGTGAAGGGGGTGTAATACAGATTAGGACCTACATCAGTGGGTGATGCGCAGAATAGTCGTTTAATATGTTTTTCCCATTCTTAGAGCTGAAAGTGTAGTCTTAAACCCAGAGCTGTAATGAAGAGGGTAGGATTACCCATCGATAAGAGTTCTAAACACATTCTGATGGAGGCTTGTAATCAGTACAAATTGTAACGGCCGCAGAAGGAGTACTCAGTACCATCTGGCGCTTTGGGGCTGAGCCCAGCCCCACTGCTATAAGAAACCATATTTGCGATGTGTTGGCACCAATACGGAAGTCAATGGCTCCTTGACATTTTGGTCTCTTCATCATATGGGCAAGGCCAGCTGCAGAACATGCCCTTTTCCAGTGGGCAGGGAAGTGGCTCAGATGAGGTGGCTTTTTGTTGAAGAAAAGGTCAGCTCAAGGAGTCTTGAAGCTTTGGCTTAAGTTTGAGAATGACATATGGCACTGTGATCCACTTCTTTGAGGTTGAGTGAAATACTTTCAGGACCGATGTAGAAATCTTAACAGTTTCCCACCAAAAGATCTGAGTTGATGTTAAAGTAAATTTGGATAATTGATAACACTGAAACAATGTGGGCTTTTTCTCATCTGCTTTTCAGACACTTAAAATGGCTTAATATCTGTGTCTATTGTACAGTACTGTGATTTTTCTCTTTTCTTTCTTGCCCGTGGGCTGGAATGTTTTTGAAGGCAGACACTCTGTCTTTTTTCATCTTTTGATTCTCAGAATCTAGGACCTGGATGGGTGCATTTTAGATACTCTGTAAATTAATTGAATTAGTCCTGAAAATTGAATTAGTTTGTGCTTTATCCATCCCATTATTAGGAAGTCACTGAAATGTGGTTCCACCACCAGAATCCTAGAAATCAGAATCTTCAGGGACCAACAAATATTTTGAACTCAAGGGGCTTGGTGTCTTTTTGCAGTAGGTGCCTGAAGGTGTTCTGTCCGTATTTCCTGAGAGAATAAGTGATTGTGAATATGCTGGCTTCACTGTCTGCTAGCTGTGCCATCTGGAGTAAGTTATTCTGACCCTCTAAAGCCTTCGTTTCTTCATCTAGAAAATGGCGCTAGTTACAGTGTCTACCTATGAGGTAGTGGATTTCATGAAATTAACCATATAGAGAGATGAGAAAGACAGATGATGGCTGTAAGCAATTTATAAGTCTTGGCAAGACGTGTGGACACCTCCCTGCACTTTTCACAGCCTGACTTTCATTCATTCCTCCTACAGGACCCATGTCTTCTTGAAAGTGAATGATTATCGGTACATATGAACTACCCCCAAAGTTAGTGGATTCCAACAACAGTTTATTATAATTTCTCACAGTCAGTGGATTAATTTGGCTTAGTGGGGGCAGTTCTCATTTTGGTCTCTAAAGCAGTTTCTGTAAAATAGTGGCTTCTGAAGGCTTGTCTGGGGTCACTTACTCTGCAGGTGTTTGACACTGGCTGTCGGCTGCGAGCTGTCTGCCAGAGCCCCTCTACGTGGGCTCTCCGTAAGGCTGAGGATTTTTACGGTGGTCTCAAGGAAGTTGCCCTTTTCCAGGACAGCTAATTTCCAACAGGGAGGCGTCCTAAGAGCGAATGTGCCAATAGACTCGGCGGAAACTGCAAGATTTCCATGACCTAGCCTTAGACCTGTGTCACTTCCTCTGGATTCTGTTGGTCAAATCCCAGGGCCAGCCCAGGTTTGAGGGGAGAAACTCTCACAGGGCGTGGATACTGGGAAGCACGGTTTACTGGGGAAGGAAGGATAAAAGGTTATGTTTCCAAGATGAGCTACCAAAGTGAGCTCAGCTCCTCTGACAGAGGGCCTGGAAATAAACACGGTGGGGGAACCTGTCCAATGATCATCTACCTTTAACAACTGTAATCAACCTCAATCTGTCAATCATGGCTATTAATGAGTCCTGTTACGTATATGGCAGCAGCCTGTGGCATCGTAGGCTGGATTCTCTGATTATCATGCAAGTCTTGGACGGCATGATCATTTGAAGAATCAGAATTGCTTGATGCAAGGTGATCTGCTGACTCTGCTTGACCTTCACTCTAATGGGTTCTGAATGGCTTCTCCTCTCACACTGGCCCCGCCTCTTGGAGTTTGTATCTTGGGACTTGAAACAGACAGTATTTAAGCTTGATGTTGTTATCCCTGAGCTCCTCTGCCGATGAGTTAAAGTAGTAATTCCCAACGGCTGAACAGACCTCGTCCCCACCCCGGGCCATCATTATTCTCCCTGAATGTATTCTTTTTTTAACACCTTGGTGTCCATCCTCCAAAACCACTTTCTGTTCTTTTGCAAAGACACACGTATAGTTTTGTTGCTTATTAAATAAAGTTGGGCTCGCTCCTTCATTCAACTCGGCATTCACGTTTATTGGTTCAGAAATTATGTATTGAGTGCCAGTAGCTCTGAAATTTTATTTCACTTTTAAGCCACATATCTTGGCCATTCTTCTCTGTCAGTACATTTAGTTTCCCTCCGCTTTTTAGCTGCAGAATGAGCTTGCTCATTTAGCCCTTCCTTGAATGATGCTCATGTCATAGTTCCACTTTTTTGACACTACAAACAACCCAACAGGGAATCCTCCCTGAACATGTATCTTTGACCAAACACACAAGATTGTTTTTTCCTGTAAGATGGAGTCTAAGAAGTGGAAATGCTGGGTCAAAGGAAAAACTCATTTAAAATTTTGATTAAGTGAGGCTGAAAAATTGGCTTTCAGAATTGGCTGTGCCAAGGAATAGCACATGATAATGACAGTGATTCCCTGGGCTGTGGCAACACTGGATATTGTATTTCTGTCTGTCTGTCTCATTTTTTAATTGACGTATAGTCAGTTTACAGTGTCATGTTAATTTCTGGTGCACAGCATTATGTTTGTCATCCACATACCTATATATGTTCCTTTTCATATTCTTTTTCATTTCGGTTACTACAAGATACTGAATATAGTTCCCTGTGCTCTACAGTAGAAACTTGTTTATTTTATATATAGTAGTTGGTATCTGCAAATCTTGAGCTCGCAATTTATCCCTCCCCACACCCTTTCCCCCTGGTAACCATAAGTTTATTTTCTATGTCTATGAGTGTGTTTCTGTTTTGTAAAGGAATTCATTTGTGTCTTTTTTTTTAATATTCCATATAGGAGTGATATCATATGGTATTTTTCTTTCTCTTTCTGGCTTACTTCACTTAGAATGATGATTGCCAGGTCCACCCATGTTGCTGCAAATAGCATAATTTTATTGTTTTTTATGGCTGAGTAGTATTCCATTGTATACATATACCATAACTTGTTTATCCATTCATCTGTCAGTGGGCATTTAGGTTGCTTCCATGTCTTGGCTATTGTAAATAGTTCTGCTGTGAACATAGGGGTGCATGTATCTTTTTGAATGAGAGTTCCCTCTGGCTATATGCCCAAGAGTGGGATTGCTGGATCATAGGGTAAGTCTGTTTTCAGTTTTTTAAGGAATTTCCATACTATTTTCCATAGTGGCTGTAACAAAATACATTCCCACCAACAGTGTTGTCTCTCTCTTTATTTTTTTTCAACCTGAAGGCCGAAAAATGCCATCTCATTGTTTAATTCGTCCTTTCTTACAAGGTTATTCTTATAACTTGAATGCACGTTGGCTTCTTTGTTTCTCTTTTCCTCTAAATTACTAGTTCTGACCTTGGCCTGTTTTCCTGTTGGATTGTTTATCTTGGTGATTCCTGTTACGCTTCTTTTGTATTACTAATAGTATTTGGAAGTGTCCCCTGCAAGGAAAAGGGAACCGGATTATCAGGGACTTCAACAAATAAGGGTTTATTTTTCTTATGTAACAAGAAGCCTGGAGGTACGAGGCTGCTGGCATTTGCTCTGTGGCTCACTCTTGTCAGCTCCGGGGTCTCTGTAAGCCTTTTGCCTTTTCCCTTTGAACACAAAATAGTGCCAATGGCATCTGTCCTTTTTATCAGAAAGCTACAGCTTTCCCAGAATCTGCAAGGAAGTTTATAATGGCTGGAATGGAGACAGGAACAGTCAAAAGACATTGATAAGGAGTTCTGGGTTAACTAACCAATAGTTCCTCCCACTTTGGTATTAACACCTCCTGTTACTTGCCATTTAAGTAACATTTGGCCATTTGTCATCAGTATCTTAATGAAATTTGTAGTATCTTTCAGCTCACAGGAATTTACATTTTAGAAGGCAGTAAATTCTGTTAATACATTCATTTGTGATTTTAGTTTTCATTACTTCCATTATGAATTTTTTCCTATTTTTCTAATATAGCCATATTTCCAATTTTTGTTTCTTTTAAAAATCAATCTGGGAT